TTAAAAATTCAGAATCGGGTGCATGTCTACGTGTACATAAATAAGAGGTAAGAGAATCACGTGTCTGTTAGTTTAGTTGAAAACAAGTGTAGAATATTTTCATGAGCGCTTTCAGTTATTCGTTTAGCTATTCTGGAGGTCCTCGAGCATTCACAAAAGATTGTCATGATTGATGTTAGTTACATTTTTAATGCGTTTTTGCGTTGTGATGTCATTGCGCTTCAAATAACAACAATGCGAGGCTCTGCTCTGTGCAAAAGGCATCAGTCACTTTAAAATCTCAGTATATCGCTTAAGGAATGATTAACAAGACAAACGAAATTGCTCAACGAAAATTCACTGGCCACCGCTTACTTTTATAAAGTTAAGAATTAGAAAAAACATTCCATATCTGAGGCCTTTTTAATCAAACATGTATTACTGAAGGACTCCTAACAAAGTAATATATGTGTGGTGGGAAGCACTTTTTACTTAGCCGTACCAATACTATTTCGGCCATGGAGAGCCTTACAGTAAGGCAAAGCTCTATTACCTTATTTTTATACATATATATTTATTGTCGGGCCTTTTCGGTGTATATTAAACTTAAATCAATTTTTAAGCAATTAATGGATTTGCTGTGGGGGAGATTGAAAAAATAAACAACTTTTGGGTAGACGCCGATAAATGAAGATGCATTGAGGACGCGTCGATAATATAATGACGTGCCAGACTTGTGAGTAAAGACAGTTTTTATAAAATCTACTAGCTTTCCTCTTCGGGATCGGGGAGAAGTCTTTAAACATATTTATATAGTTCATTTTCATGTTAGCTTTGTAGAAAATAAAAATTATTTTGCGTTCTTCTAACTTCTCCCAAGCAATATTTATTTCGTCATTAAATATGACGAAGGTAATTATCTGTTCTGACGGGAGAGACTGTAAAAACAGTCCACATAGACTTGGTAAGCCCAACATACAAACACACACACACACACACACACACACACACACAAGCACAGACGCGCACACACGCAAGCATGCACACACTCACATACACATACACACTCACTCCCATTTTTTTTTTTAAATTTCAACCATCAGACATGTCATGTTCGTCTATTTCAAACTTCCACCTTCCCAAAAATACCAGGATGTAGACAAAGGAATTATAATTACCATACAGACATCGTACTGGTTCTGGATAATAACTGCGAGGGTCGAGACTACTTGAACAAAATAATAACACAAAAAAGCTCAACATCTTATTAGAGAAAGCGTCTGGTTAGCAAGGTTAAATTACAATTTTTCCTTGCAGACCCGTCGATTTCTTTATAGGTAAATGGTGTAGAACGTTAGGCTATATGGAGCTTTCGTGTAGGATACAGGTTCGATTCATGTCGGTGAGCTCATATTTTCTTTTAGACTTGTCGGACATTCAGGCCGGTAAATGTTGTTAATACTGTTTATTATAACAGAGCATTTACTTAAATATTTGTATCTATAAAAATAATGTATAAACAAAAAATATATTAAAATATTATATATATATATATATATATATATATATATTATTATTATTATTATTATTATTATTATTATTATGAAGAAAATAGGATATTCCATTATCTTTACGAGAGCAATGTTAAAGAAGACAATTCGAAATATATCGCTAAATATTGCCTCATTCACTAACGTTTGAGAAGCATCGTACCATAAGGAACAATGATATAATTTTTAATATACAGGGTGCGATAGATAAAGTGTCGTCTAAGTTGCACAAAAGGGAAATAACATTGCCATCTCATTTTAACAGATATATTTACTAAAATAACACAAAAAGAGCTTGAAATACTAAAAAATAAATTTATTCAATAAAATCGCCATTGGCTTCAACCATGGTCTCCAGACAACTTCAGAATCTCCTGCAACTCTTTTGGACGGCCCCTTTCTTTAAGTTGGTGAATGCTACCAAAATCCTTGCCTTCAGTTCATATTTGATATTACAACGAGTATTGTGGGTCTCTCGGTCATAATAACCAAGAGAGTTGCAGTCTGGGGAGTTAGCTGGCCAGATATGAGGGATGATGTGATCACAGAAATTGTCTAACTGCCATCTCTGCGTCCCCATTCTTGTGTGGCATGGTGCAGTGTCCTACTGTCAGACATAGGGTCACCCAGCAACCATCCTCTTAACGCAGGGCAGCACTACCCCCTCAAAGCACCTGATGTAGGCCTCCGTGTGGAGTCTGAGGCTCTATAGGAAGATTAATGGAGGCCTAATGTCACCATCACCAGTGATCACTCTATACACCTTTTTAATCACCATTAGAATCATCCAACTCTTTCTGAATCCTCTGCACTGTTTTCAGATTGACACTCTGAACATACTGAAATATTTATATTGAAGCTTCCTGTGCGAATGTCAAGCAGTATAGTATGCCGTTTCCAAATTTCTGGCAGATTGAATTGCGTCATGATGCTCTTTTTCTCACAGACGGTGTCCAACTGACCCTACTATACTGTTCTGTCGACAAATTCAAAATCAAACAACGCGCATGCGCAAAATTAAAAATATGAAATGGCGACAATTTACCCAGTACACCTTGTTTAAGCATATATAATTATACTTATGTACACACGCACACACATTATCCCAACATTGGCGAAGATTCTCTTTTGCCCAAAATATTTTTGTAAGATAAGGCTTTTAAGAAAACTGTTGACATTTAAGGCATATCCTGAGGACCGAGGGCTTAGAAAATTTGACACTGACAGGACATTTTCAAGGCAAGCGGTACATACGAAAACAGCGCATAATTTATTTAACGATCCTCTGTAAATGTTTTGCAGAACAGGCTTTAAGATAAGTAGCAAAAAAGACAAATTTATTAAGAGCTACAAAGGACAGCACATTGTGGCGAGGCATGGTCTCCAAAGTCCTGAAGGGACACGACACATAGAAGAATAAGAATGTTTTTAATTATAATGCTCGGTATCAAATGATAGAGCATTAATATAATATTGATTAAAAAAAAGTAAGAATTAAAAATTATAATTCCTTTCATTAGTTTTATGTAATAACGAGAAACTCCCTAAAAGCAGTTGGTTTTCTTGTAAAAGTAATTCATGATACTGTTGAAACTTGACTAATGCATGGAATAATAATACAACACAAAATGTACTTAGAACAAAATGTATTGAAACAAGAAAGTGTACACAATATTTACATATAGTCTTTTGTATATTCTTGGGAAGACCTTTCCTGGAGAATGTGTTGACTTAGTCGCAGTCGGGCAGAGTCTCTGGATTGAATCTCTTGATTCCTCCCCCGTCTTCCCGGTACCAACCATATTTATATGGTTGGTACTCCACTATGCAAATTAGGTGGATCCTACCACAACAGATACCAAAGGATGAAGTAACAATTTTATAAATTTTATTAATAATTACACATTTTAATTTGTATTTAAGACCATAAATGAAGTTCTATTGTTCCACTGGACTTCGTAGTTAACCTATTGCATGAAAATTTGGTGTCATAGCTTAAAACAGGAGTCTTTTTCAGAATAATAAGTATATTTTTTGCTATTAGTTAATAATTAGTAAAAGATTTTCCGACCCGAAAAATCGAATAAAAAAGCATCTAAAATACCTTAATGCAAATATATCCTGATTTAAAGTATGAAAATAAATTATTTTACGATATTAATGGATATGTTTTACTTCTTTATATTAAAAGAGAAATTTCTTCGACTTTCTGTATTTTGAATAAAAAATTAATGATTAACATTAATATATTAAGCAATACACGGACAAGGATTCTGTTACCATTTATAGACATTTAAGGATATTTGTGGAGATTTTATACCAACGGCTTCCCATACTTAATACAAAGTTAAAACTTAATAGATAACATCGCACTGTCAGTTCCATAAATAACTCGAAACCCTAATCGCTGTAATCTGATATTAAGTATTTATTTCTCCTGTCATGAATGCAATCCCTTGTTTCTTGTTTAGGATTGGGTTTCCATTTCCTTCTAAAATCTACTTCAACTCTATACTTCTAAAATCTTTGTCTAAACTCTGAAATTTTATTTACTATTTCTTTCTGTATTTTTTTTATTTTCTTCCTCAATAGTGAGTAAATAGATTCGCCCATCGTCCGGTTCACACTCCTCTCCTTCTAAAGTCTACTTCAACTCTATACTAACGTTTGTCCTTTCTTACGCTAATACAACTCCACACAGTAACACTCTACTTTGATTGGGTCTTGAGCCTTGTATGGCGTGAAGATTAAAAGAAAAAAACGTCGTTTTAGTTTGGTTTGGTTTGTTTTACCGCATATCAACATCTCAATGGGTTATTTAATGTCGACAAGATTTTTATTGCTGGTTATATTTTTTTTTTCAAAAATATATTTTTGGTAATATTTTTTTTCAGAAATGTATTGCTGGTAATAATTTTTTTTCAAAAATATATTGCTGGTAATTTTTTTTTTTTTTCAAAAACGTATTGCTGGTAATTTTTTTCCCTTAAAAACCTACATCTATACTTTCATAGTGTTTTGACACCTTTGTGGAGAATTAACTATTTGCCTATAGCTGGGACCCTGTCAGGTGCTACTACACCGGGTTAGGGTGGATCTGGGAACACCAGCAATTAAGAGGTGGTTCCAATCTCCTCAAAATCTTCGGATCAAAGGCCTTGCTGTAGGGTGTAGTTTATCGTCATACCCAGGACTGCGTCTTTTTGGAAAACTTAAGCAATGTCTTTAAAATAAAATAAAAACGTGCTAACTGTAAATAAATTCAGTTTTACTATCAAGAACCCCGACGAATGTCCGCTATCTCCACAAAACCCAATATAAGAAGCAACAGATTAATGGGCATTTCTTTCCTTTATATATGCGTTGTGTTAACCGCGAGCCACGAGTCTCGTTGTGAAATGCTCGACAATTGCGCGATTTTAAGTTAAAGTGAGTAATGGGAAGTGTATTTACAGCTGGTTCGAAACCGACAGGCCGGTGAGGGTAGATAGAACGCTGAAGACGGGGTGGAGCCGGGTAGATCGTAAAGACAAGTGAAATTTCTGATTAAAATCACGCCCAAGTTTGGCGCTCAGGACTATATATAGAAATTTCAAAGGGAATTATATGAGTCAGTTGTTGACAAGCATATTATCCAAAGAAGATAATTAAAAAGAAATAAATGCGTTCGTCCCCGTAAAGTTATATAGTACTTTAAAAAGGTTTAATGTTACCACCAAAAATACACACACATACGCACACACGCGCGCACATACACAAACTAACACAGACAAACACACACACAAATATGTATGTGTGTGTGTGTGTGTGTGTGTGTGGTGATGTTACACAAAACTTTGTGGAATTTGACCATGAAAATATTACTTATCTTGTTTCTATCGTCTCCTTCGTATTAAACCATTGTCTGTTGTTTGTGAAAGCAGCTGCTCACAAAAGGTAGCAGCAAAAGTCTCTACTGCATTCGGTTGATGGAAACGTGTGGTTTAAAGCCCCCCCCCCCGAACCGTTGGGTAGCGCCTTATATATACACATATGCATGCATTTTACGTCCCCGTAGCCGAATGGTTAAACCATTCGCTCCCCGATCGTCTCGATGGCACTTTTGAGATCTGGTTTCGAATCCAACCGTGATCAATTTCTCAGGAAAGTGATATTTTGATGTTTTCGTTCTGGGAGCGGATGCGATCCCAGAGTTAAGTACCTTTGGAAAATATCTGAAAAATTTACCAAGCAATTGTTGCGCTAGCATGAAGTCAGAAGTCATCGTGACCGAGGGTTAGATTGTACTGGCGTTGTTCAAACTGCTGGTCATGTCATATTATGCCCTCTCTCCATGAAACTGTAACTAAGGTCTGCCCCGCAGAGTTGCAGTATAAATAACAAGTGGCTTCTGTCGAAATTGAACAAACACTAATATGCCTGAGCAGTCGTCTACAAATTGGGTTGGGTAACCGCCCTAGCAGACGGGTTTTCTCGAAATCGAGTAGCCGGCCATTATGTTCGTTTTAACCATCTTTAAATATAGGGTGCGATGGATAAATTGTCGCCATTTCATATATTTAATTTTGCGCATGTGCGTTGTTTGCTTTAGATTTTGTTAACTGTACAGTATAGTAAGATCGGCTGAGCAACGTCTGTGAGAAAAAGAATACCATGACACAATTCATTCCACCAGAAATTTGAAAGCAGCATGATTTACTGCTTGGCATTTACACAGGAAGCTCCAATACGAACATTTCAGTATGTTTAGGCGTCGATCTGAGAATAGTGCAGAGGATTCGAAAAGAGTTGGTTGAGTCTAATGGTGATTATGAAGGCGTTTGAAGTGATCACTAGTGATGGTGACGTTATGCCTTCATTCATTTTCCCACAGGGTCTTAGGCTAAACACAGAAGCCTACATCAAGTGCCTTGACGGGGTAGTGCTGCCGTGAGTCAAGAGGGTGGCTGCTGGGAGCCCCTATGTGTGGTCACAAGACTCTGCACCACGCCACACAAGCAGGAGAGCACAATGATGGCTGTCAGAAAATTTCGGTGACCACATCACCCCTTATATCTGTCCAACTAACTTCCCAGACTGCAACCGCCTTGATTATTATTTGTGGGGTGCAGTTAAGCAAGAGACCAACAAAACTCTTTGTAAAATCAAAGATGAACTGGAGGCAAGGATTATGGTAGCATTCACGAACTCAAACAAGGAGACCGTCCAGAAGAGTTGCAGGAGATTCCGAAGTCATGTGAAGGCCGTGGTTGAAGCCAATGACGGTTTTATTGAATAGATTTACTCTTTAGTATTTCAAGATATTTTTGTGTAATTTTGGTAAATATATCTGTTAAAATGAGATGTCAGTGTTATTTTCATTTTTCGTAATTTAGACGACAATTTATCCATCTCTTCCTGTATGTATATGTACATTAGTGTATTTGTAACATATCTATCTAATATATATTTGAGAAAGATTGTGTAGCTGCCATTTGCTGTTCGTGGATTCTAAATTCTGGCGAGGATATAAGAAACTCCCCACCCCTTCTCTCTGGGGCAGGTGCTTATATAATGACCCTGTTATCTGGTTCTTTCCACCTGTTCACATCCTCAGCGCAGCTTGGTCGACCTACTGTTTACATATCGGAACAGCTTTAGTGAAGGCATGGATCTGCCCCTGGTGTCTAGGAAGTTTTCTCTCCGGTATCTGTTGATACACCCGGCCTCTGACGGGCAATGTGTCTAAGGTGAGCTATATACTAGCATGCAACTTTTCTCGAAGAATCAGCCCATGCGCATTACACTTTAGATAAATGGAAGTAAGGAAGGACATGTTCATTTTTTGTATTCTTCTATATTAGTCATTTCACTCCAAGCAAGGCAATAAAGCCACTAGGACGCAAGAGGTTACTGAGTGTGAGACAGTATCAAAAAATCTACTATTAAAGCGAGAAGACAATAACAGAACATGAATTAAAATGTTAACAATTGCATATTTTGGCATCAGTTTTTCATCTATACATATATTATTAAATACAACAGACAATATTTTTTACCCATTTCACCCCAGGTAAGGCAATAAAGCCACTAAGACGCAAGGGATTACGAAGTGTTAAAGAATATTAGAAAAAAATTTATTAAGGAGAGAGAGCAATAAAAGAACGAAAATTAAGATAACGATTGACATTTCTGAAAATCAAAGTTGACTGAGAAGCAAGAACCCAGAAGAGATTTCCACAAGTAAGAAGTGCGATAGAAGAAACTGTTAGCATATAACTTACGGTTACATCTATCCATTTAAAGTGTAAAAGGATGAGAAGTTGCTGCCAATCTAGTAGTACGCTTAAATTCATAAAGTCTATGTCCCAAAGAGGAAAGTTCATCAGAACAATTACCATAAAAGTTTATATATATATATATATATATATATATATATAGATAGATAGATAGATAGATAGATAGATAGATAGATAGATAGATTAAAATGTTAAAAGCATTAATTTTGATTCGATTAGATAGATAGATAGATAGATAGATAGATAGATAGATAGAAAGAAAAGGCATGAAAAGCTATGTTAAGTCATTGGGAATTTTACTGAAGCTGAGATGCCAGGTCAAGACCAATAACATTGCAGATTCTTTTTTTAGAGTTTATAAAGCACCTCTTAACATATAGCAGGAGTACCAGACCATAAGTGGCAGCAATATTCAAAGCAAAGACGAATGGTAAACTTATAAATATGTAAGATAGATTCTGGCGAGAAAAATGAATAGGGAAGTAAGCAATGAATGAACAAAAGTAAGCAATATCGATGTTTTAATGGGATTTTTTGAATAATATAAAAGGAATAATGCAAGTTTTAATATAAATTGGATATTTCTTGTCTTTCATGGAATAATAAAGAAATAATATCAAACATCACTTGATGGTTAGAGAGCGTGCCAACTGGCCATTTTCCTCTGTTCACTGCCAGGTATGTTTTTAAAGTTATAAAAAAAATGAAACACAATGATAAAACGAGTTATCTCGTCAGTTGCGCTGAAAAGATAAAAGCCGTTTCAATTTCTTAAAAAAAAAAAGAAAAGCTTATTTATTCTATAAAAAAATCTATTGATTTTTATCAATGTGAGAAAATATTAAGAATTGATATGGCATTTTTTTAAAATATTACAGAGTTAGATATGCAAATTGAAAATGTCAAAAGCATTAATTTCGATTGGTTTCTCCTGCCTAAAGTGACAAAACATATCGGTCAATTTGATGTTTAACCCAATCTAAAAAGTCCTAAACTTTAAAGGAAAAATTCTCGGCTGGCCAGACGGTTTAAGATTACAAAGACCCAACTATTACTTCCTTAACCCTTTCTTTTCCATACCCCCCACCCCATATCTCATCTCTTTTCTCTTGCTTTCCCACTCCGCTATCAATCTAACATATCGATCCGGTGTATTTTCTCCATTTACTAAGGAGATTTCGAGCTGCACATGCAAATTTAAAATGTTAAAAGAATTAATTTTGATTCGATTAGCTAGCTAGCTAGCTAGATAGATAGATAGATAGATAGATAGATAGATAGATAGATAGATAGATTATTGTTGCGATGTTGTTTTGTGGATACTGTTATTTGCGGTCGAACATCCGGCTCTACCCTGACATCATATATTCACATGAAACATTCACTTCCTTTCAAAGTATTGTGTAGTATTCTACGTTGATTGGTTGGTCGTTGTGCATCTTGTTTTTATTGAGAACATTTAGAAAAGGAATTACCTTACTTAGACAGAAAAGAATGGTTTGAGTCAAAAAGCCACAAGCTAAGGAACGAATGGAATTTTGTCCTCTAGAAAAAAAATGGCGGTAACATATCGGAAGTGATAGCCAGAGGCGAACTGGAAGAGTATACGAAAAGAGATGAAAACATTTTGGTGAAGAATGCCGAGAATGGGCGGTGAGGTAGTCCCAACGAAGGTGCTCATGAGGTGTGGCAGCGTTTGAAAATATCAAAGGGTTGGAGACCGAACAAGGGAGGTCATATGTTTGGTATTTCGTGGTACACAATATACGCTGGGTTCGTATGTAAATGCAAGAATTCGAAAGAAGAAAAAATAATGCGAAATTCATCTGCTGTCGCCTTTTCCCAGCATCGCCCCTGTCAGTTTTATTAGCCACACTTCCGCCGAATATATATATATATATATATATATATATATATATATATATATATATATATATATATATATTGATGCTTCGTCGTGGATGATGGTTAACGAAATTGTCTAGCATGTCTTTACAATGTACTGAACACGATTCACACGTGTTCTTGCAATGTATTTCTATAGTAAAATTATTAGCAATACATTCATATTATACGTCTAAATGCTTATGTTATTATTAAGCGGAAAGTTTATTTTAATTATTTTTAAAAAATTTTCCTTTTTTTAGAACATTCTAAATTTTGATTAAAAAAACCTTGTTTCTCTTTGTATCAACAGAACTAGTAAAATAACATATAATTTTTAGCACGTTTTTTTTTTCTTGTATGACATACATTAATTTGGAAAATCTTGCAAAAATAAAAATAATTGTTGGATGTTAATGAAACTTTCAGAAACTATACGATAAAATTTTGTTTTCGTCAAGTTTGGCGTCTTTTTCATCCTGCTATGCTCTTTTTTAGCGATCTCGTGGAAGTACCTATATTATACGTATAATAGTTCTATAACGTTAATAATATCATTTTTCCTGACCAATGACAATCAGTTTATCCTTGATTTTTAATGCATTTAATTAGTAAAATCATTAGGATTGCCTTTGCAGTATATATATATATTTTTATACATATATGTGTGTGTGTGTGTGTGTGTGTGTGTGTGTGTGTGTGTGTGTGTGTGTGTGTGTGTGTGTGTGTGTGTGTGTGTGTGTGTGTGTGTGTGTGTTGGTTATTTTGTTTTAAGGCATATCAACGACAGTGGGTCATTTAATGCCGACAAAATTTTTATTGCTGGTAATATTTTGTTTTGTCAAAAATCTATTTCTGGTAATATTTTTTCCCCTCAAAAATGTATAGCTGGTAATATTATTTTAAAAAATGTATTGCTGGTAATATTTTTTTTTCAGAAACGTATTGCTGGTAATATTTTTTTTTCAGAAACGTATTGCTGGTAATATTTTTTTAAAAAAATATATTGCTGGTAATAGTTTGTTTTTTTTTCCTTCAAAAATTTATCTCTGATAATAATTTTTTACAAAGTATTTCTGATATTAAAACCTATTTTTACACTTTAATAATGCTCTTTACCTCAGTCTGGGAGTTAACTATTTTCCCATAGCTGGGACCCTAACAGGTGCTACCACCCCGGGTCAGGATGGACCTGCAAATACCAGCAATTAAGAGGTGGTTCCTCACTCCTCAAAAGCTCCAGATCAGAGGCCTTGATACTGGACCTAGTTTATCGTCTTACCCAGGACGCGAATGTAGTTTATCGTCCTACCCAGGACGAGTGTGTTTGTGTGTGTGTAGAAAAGAGCCATATCCTCTCCTTCTTTCACACCCTCTCTCTTGCCTCCCATTCCTCCTATTAATCTAATATCCGGTATACTGTCTCCATTGAATAAGAAATTTCGGTCTGAAGACATGAATATTTAGGTATTATTATTGTAATCTCTACTTATTATTTTCATTAGACTAAATTTGAATCGATTTGGCTTATCTTGCCTAAAACAAACCATATCGGTCAATTTTATGTATAAACCAGCATAAAAAGTCCCAAACTTTAAAGGAAAAATTCTCAGCTTGGCCAGCCGGTTTAAGATTACAAAGACCCAACTATTACTTCCTTAATCCTTACTTTTCCATAACCACGCCGATATCTCATCTCTCCTCGCTTGCTTTCCCGCCCCCTATCAATCTAACATATCTGTCCGGCGTATTGTCGCCATTTACTAAGGAGATTTCGATCTGAAGAGATGAACATTTCGGAGTTCACAAAATAAATTATAATCGAAATGAATAATTAAAATTTCACATATTTTAATTTTTAATTTATTGTATTTCCAATTAATAAATAAACATAATTTCCATATAAATAACTGTAAACAGATGCGTAATAACTACGATACAAAAAAGAATATGTAATCTTCATTTAATACTTTTTAAAATAGCCATTATTCATTTCTACAGCAACCAACCTCTTCTTGTAGTTTTCAATTAATGATTTGCAAATTTTAGTTAACATTTTAATGTATTCTTCTTCACATATAGTCTTCAGATCCGGGATGTTTATTGGATCTCTAGATTGGATTTCAATTTTCAAATAACGACACAGATTCTCGATTAGGTTTAAACCTGGGGACTTACTTGGCCATTTCAGAATATTTACATTATTTTTAGCAAGACATTTCTTCGTAGATTTTGCAGTATGATTAGGATCATTATCTTGTTGGGAGTCTTTTCAATAGCAGTGATGTTTTTCGAGTGGAGCGTGACTTTAGATTGTTCCTATGAATTTCATTACTTATTGTCCGTTTAGTGACACAGATTCGTCATGAAAGCAAATCATCCTGCAACTCTTAACTAGTAATCATTGGATTTTGTTTAATTTGACGCATTAATTTCATGAAAGATCTTGAAGAAATCTTCTTTGGTTTTCAACAGTTTTGAGTTGTTTATATCTTGCAATGAACGAACTAATGGTAGTAAATTAAATATTCAGGTTGTCTGAGATTTTCCTAATAACATTATTGGAACATTCTAGTATATTCCACTTGAATAATCTAGAGTATTAAAGCAATTTAAAAATTTGAAAATCTAAAATTTGCATTGCACGAATACCTTTTTCACCCATTAATATGGATAAATGGGTTTTATTTCTATTAAAACAGTTTTTTCTGGTTTCTATGCATATTTAGTTATTATACATCTGTGTACAGTCAATCATATCAAAATTATGTTTATTCATTAGTTGGGAATACAATAAATTAAAAATTGATGGAAATAAATAAGCGTGCTGTTTAAGAAGTAAAAACTCAAATATAGGTATCCATTAAAAACAACGGTTAAGCAATAAATTAAAATATGTCGGATTAATAAATGAAAAATCTATTCCTAAATATACAGTCCCCTCTAAAGGTAGAGGAACGGCAATTTATTTCCTGGTATTTATATTTAGATGTGTTAAACAACTTAGAACGTACCACCTTTTGTTTTATCCTCACCCATTTTTCAAGTGGGCAAAACTGTTGGAACACGTGACTGACAGGTGTCTCTTGTTGTTCAGGTGTTGCCTTTTAGATACATTGTTTAAATATTAAATAGCTCTGAATGACTACTCATGGATCTGTCCTTCGATTTCACCTGTAGAGACTGCATCTCTTGTTAAAAGTAAAAAGCCACATGAAGACACGCCATTTCGAAGCTGAGAAAAGAAGGAAAATCGACCAGAACAATTGGTCAAACTTTGGTCATAGCCAACATGACAATTTGGAATGTCCGGAAAAAAAGAAGGAAACTACTGGTGTACTGAGCAACAGACAAAGAACAGATCGGCCAAGGAAAACAGCAGCA